TTGGTAAATACCTTTGTCATTATGGACTCTTGAATTTCAACTTACTTTGAGGATTTTCCATTAACTTTTTCCTATTGTTTGTAAACAACTGTTATTTTTATCTGACCTTTTCAGCAGATGCCTGCGTAATTTCAATATTTAGATTATTCTTTGAGTTGTCTTGCCTTCAATGTACGAATTTATTTATTTTCCAAATTTATTTATTATTCACTTTTCTTATTTTTTATTTTCTCTTCCACTTTGTAATAATTTGTATGATATTTAAAAAATCTGAAATTTGAACATCTTTGTCTTTTTGCAGAATATTTGCAGATTTCGAGAATTTTCCTATTCAAGAGATAACGTACTCGTCCTCGCGGCTCCTCACCTGCTCCAACATTGTTACTGAGTTTATCTTCATCATTGATTAGTGGGCTCCTGATTGGTCCCGATTAGAAAATTAAAATTATTTTATGTGTGTGCAATGACTATCAATATTTCAATAAACAATGTCAAAGTGAGAAATACTGTCCTGTTCTCCATTCTAGTTTCATTCTTTTGCTCCTTCATTTCGCTTCTTGACTCAAATGTAAATTTCTGATGTATTGATTTTGTAATAAATGCATAAGATATGTTCGTTTTCATTATTTCCATTAATATTTCATATAATTTAAAAACGATTTCAATGTATTTTCAGAGATCGTTTGTTAGACTCATTTAAGGCTTGTAACTCGTTGAATATTGATTTTATCAAAACAAGAATGTATAGAATTGATGTTTATTTAAGTATTAGTTTAGTTAATAAATTTTCAAAACCTTGATCAGAAGGTCGTTATATTCTAATTATTATTCATGTCGACTCATGCAAGATTTTATTATTTGAAAAATTTTCTTCGTTTGGGAAATCGCATTTGTTTTTGGGAAAAACGTATATGAATACGTAACACACTGCGAACTGAGCAAACAGTTTGACAACAAAACTATTCTTCTTTTCAGGTACTAATCAAAATGGAAATCCTATTGATGTTATCCACCCTGCTGGGAATACTGAGTCCTACTACCCAAGAATTTGGGACAACTCCACGTTACGAGGTCCACCCACTAGAAAACAACCCAGGCATCTACTATGAATCTATGAAGCCAATCAGGATGTCAACAGCAACCTGGAAATTGACTGTCACCATTGATGTCCAAGGCATAGTAGAAGCACATCAGACCAATTGGGATAAGGTGAACCAGCTACTAGGGGCCTGTATGAATCGAACCCAGAACTACGAAGGCTGTAGAAACGCCCGAAGGGTAACTAGAATCAAGACCCTAGAAGAAAAAGCTGAAAAAACCCGCCAACATCTGAAGGGCTTGTTGAGAAATGATGAAACGCCAAGAAGGAGATATGGCAGGGCCCCCATATTTGGGTTCATTTCAACAATATTGGGACCAATAATAGGAACGACTGACTACGAGGAAGACGAACACCTAGTCGTATAAGTTAAAAAGCTCTACGAACACAAAGATCAACTTACCAAAGTGATGAACGAGAGCATCCATATGATCCAGTCAGAGATAGTCCAAAATAGGCAATATCTCAACACCACCAACACAAACATCGAAATTCTGCGTAAAGACGCAGTCATACTATCAAATGGACTCCAGAGATCGCTTGACAAGCTAGAAAGACTTGAAGCCATGATCCAGTTCACCCAAGTAGGCTCCCTATTAGTCGAGACGGGCACTCATTATGTTGCCACCCTGAGGAAGACCACAAGAGCAATCGAGGACGCTAATCATGGAGAAATGAGTGCAGACCTACTCTTGCATGAACAACTCGCGCAAATGACAAGACAATTAGAAACGAGAAATTTAGGAGCGGACCTACCAATCAACACGGATAGCCCAGACCTTGGTCTACTATCACGAATCAGCAACATTCACCTGCTTGATTCAGAGGGGAAATTCATCGCTGTCATCGTGATACCGCTAATGGAGAGAGGATCACTAAACTCTACGGAATGATCCCATGCAAAACACCCCAGATGCTCCTCGGCAATGTCACAGAGTCGGCGTTCATCCAACCACAGACTAGATACATCGCTGTTGCTCTGGACAACCAGCATTATTTTCCAGCACCAGAAGAGTATTTCCGGAAATGTGTACAAGTGGAGGCATCATATCTATGATCAATGCACGCCATGCAACACCAACATGGGATACCCACGTGTGAAGTAGGATTACTATTACACCCCGATCTGGAGGTAATGAAAACCTGCGATGTCAAAATCCAAAGGACACACAAAACTCAGTGGACATGGTTAGAAGTGTCACACATATGGCTATTCTCCGCGGCGGAATCAACATCATTGAATGTGGTATGTCAAAACTTGGAGAGTTTCACTATCAAAATATCAAATACAGGAATCCTAAATCCCCAGGGAAACTGTGAGGCACACACATCTTCCGACGTAATCAAGAGCATTGGAACAGCAGAGTCTAGACTGCCGGAACTCCATGTCGCACCGATGAATCTTCACTTGTCAGTACTGTCGCTAAACTTGACTCGAGAAATCCAAGTACCGGACCTGTTAAGAACGATTAAATTAGATCCAATGACGAACAACACTCATCTAACTGATATGGCAACCTACCAACACACGCTGGACATAATCGCCAATCATAAGACGGAGGATTATAAAAGTGACTCCATCCATATAGGAATGAGCAGCATGATCGGATCCACTACAATGATAATCACCATCGTAATAATCATCCTGATGTGCAAGATGGGAGCATGCAGCGCAGCCACGCAAATCTGTTGTCAAAAAGAGTCAGAGAGAACCTTCCCTCCGCAGCCAGTAGTCACAGCGCCACGGCTAAGATATGAGTCGGTGGAGCAACGAGTGGAAGTAATACAACTGCGACCACACGCACCACCACCAGAGATTCCACAACCATCGGTCATCGTTCAGGGAAACGTCAATTAAGGATTTCAATCTCCCACTTCCATACTAAAACTACACACAG